ACGTGTGCGCGTACAAATGTTTGTACGTTTGTACGATTCATTTTGTCGTTTGACTTCGTTACCATGGCTCATCAGGCTCCACAGCTTGTGCTTCTCTTCTGCATGTCCATTCAGTCCTGCCTATACACTTCTAACCTTCCTCCACACTAACGCCACAGCCCCTGCGTGATCATGTTGTAGTCGATTCGATGTCTTTCTCTTCCCTTAATCCTTTCGAACGTGTAGAATGATTAGATAGGTTCGTTCATTGTCAATGGTATTATAAATGGGGCACTGTGAACGAGATTATGTCTGTTGGGAGCACACACCCTCCTTGAGGGCAGATGATGGCCAGTTCTTAACGAAATCCGAATCTGCTTACCGCCTCTCGCCTAAAGTATTCATTAATTCATTTCATATTTTGAACACTGCACATGCTATTTTATTTAGTGCACATACCACATCTTCGTATCCGAAAGGCCACATTTTAGTGTGATGCACGGTGGTTGGTTGAGAGTGGAATTGTGCATTGTTGCCGAAGTATTTTGCTGGTGTGATAACTTTCATCACGCGGAGTGTGCATTTGCCCTGTGGATGGTGGAACTTGCGGTGTACTCCAGGGAGCAGCATTGGCCTATGTAGCAGTACTACATCCCCTTCCTGATAGATGTTGGTCTCACTGTGTTTGTCACATCATTCCTTCTGTCTAGTGTATGAGGGTCGTATGTGTTTCCATGAGATGTTGAAAGTTTGCCTAATCCTTCCTTTAGTCGAAGTGCATACTTTGAGTTATTGTGGAATGCTACTTCTGTGTTTGATAAGGAAATATCGGTTAGAATTCCTTTTTTTTGAACTGTGAACACCTTACCCAGTGGGATGCTAGCTGATGCATAAGCAGTAGCTCCGTACGTAAGTGGGTTCCACAAAAGCTTAAATCCTGGTTATTTTATGAAACGTGTGGTATTCACGCATAAAGTGGTCCCAAATTAATCACTGCATTCCCCTTTTCCTACAAAAGCCGTTGATCCA